AAACCTAAACATCCCTCCTTAAGAGAAAATCCAAAAGAAATAGGGAGCAACAGAACTGGTACTTCATGCCCTGACAAAAGAAAAAGGCTGATAATTATTCTGGATCAGGCTGTGAAACGTTTCAGGACTGAGTAACGGTGAATCAGAGGAAATCTGAGCCGTACGCATGAGGACGCTGAAAACCTGCAGCTTAGAGCTCCGCTTCCTTCTCATCAGCAGCACACTAACTTAGTGACAGGCTCCAACAGAAAACTGCATCGACCCAATCGGATTTCACCGGCCAGATAAACCATTCAGGAATGAGGCCTTTGGGCCGTGAGCCTGACATTTGTCCTTTAGAATAACAAAAACCCTCATAAATAACTTGAATCCAGATATTTGACTTTAATGCTTTTCAGCAACGGTATTCTTTACAGCAGCTAGTGAGACAAACGTACATATAAACCAGACTCTCACGCTCAGAGGTCACATGCTACACCCCTGGGCCTCACAGCAGGATGCGGTACTTCAGAGCTCGGGGGACTCTGTTGATGACGAGGCGTCCATCGTAGCTAAGAGAAGCGAAGAGCCAGGGATCTGCTGAGGACCACTCTGCGGCGTACACGCTGTCCTCGTGCTCCTCGTAGGTGGACACGACGCTGTCTTTCAGAGGCTCCTTAGTCCTGAAGCACGTAAACACATCACACACTGGAGTCAGAGCTCAAGAACAGCGAGTTCAACACGGTTGCTTCTGTCTTCATTTTGCTGCAGGGCAGTCCGCTTTACACTTCTCTGTATTTCTACATGGTTCTCACCGCAGCTTTGCACGTAAAGAGCTCGTTATAAGTGCCGCACAACTTGAAAAGGTGCGAGCAACGTTGTTAAAACCAACGTTTTTGTTAAGAAAGCGCACCATCTGTTTAAAACTCCAACGTCTTGCTCTGTGCTGACACATTTCTCCCACTGCTGCAAGAACGGGAGCATAAACAACAGTTTAGAAATACGATCCAACATCACTGCAATCCCAAATTCCTCCCAATCCCCCTGATGAAGTGGTCCTGAGGGGGAACTGTGACTTCAACATTTGGATTCATTTGACATGGTAAAGGCTTGCTGCTCCATATGAACCAGGGCCAAAAAATCCAATCACTCCAGTGTCACGTTCAGCCGGACGGACGAAGAACAACAGAAAATCAGAAACGGCTCAGAGGGAATTCCGGATTGATCCTAACAAATATCGGTTCGAGGCACACTGAGGATTTAAAGTGTTTTCAGGTGATTTAACAGCCAATGGGTGTGCTTGCACTGTCGGAACTGCACGGTCACTTCTGGGAGATTAGATGTCCCGGTCCTCTCGGCTGTTGTCTCCGTACAAATTCAGCCCGCTCAGGACTTTGCTCAGACGCCAGCATATCACGACTGCGTTGGCAGTGAGTGATGTCACCGAAAAGTATCCACGGTAACATTAATCAAGATAAATTTTTATTCTGTTGAAATACGGCATAACTGGATCAGTTCGGAGGACCGGGAGAGCAGCTGCGTGGTGTAAAAAGTGGCGTTCAACGCCCCGAAGAGGCTCCGTGTTTTATGGCGTTCTGTGAGACAGCGAGCCCTGCAGAATGGCTGCTGGAGGATACAGATCCTGAATTTGGACTCAGCTGGATTAAGTACTGCCCAGTTATACTTCCATGTTTCATGCATCTGTCCCATACGGAGCAATTCAGATACTAGTGCACGTACCACTTCACCCCTAATGGATGGATGAAATTTGGTCCTTGGCACGTGAAGCTGGTTCAGAGGGACGACGCATTAGGGGTGAAATGGAAAACACAGGACTGCGTCGCTACACTGAAGATACTGAAGGCTGCCTGCCAAAAACCTCCAACCTATTTTTATTTTGGCTTTTAAAATAATCCTGACCCCAGAGGTCCAGACCACCGGCACAGGTCCATACAAGCTGCCCAGTATGGACAGGAAGACATACAAGGACAGGTCAACAGCTGCAGTGGAAGGGTTAAAAGTGAAGCTGAGTGCTTGTGATTAGGAAGAAGAGTTGATAATTGTGTTTGAGAGTCGGCTATTGAGGGTAAGAGCTGGTAGTTACGGCTGAGAGGAGGAATGGGACCATAATGGATGTTGGACTGTGGCGGCTTTGGACAGCAGTGAGCAGCAACCATTACAGAGGATTTACCTGCTATTTTAAAATCAACACTATGAAGAAAAAATGGAGAAAAAACCATTAGAGGTGTTTTGACAGAACCCCGTTATTAATGTTTTACCTTTTTACTTTTATGTTTCTGAGTGTCAGAGAATATGAGAGCAAAGGTTCAGGCAGCTTTAATCTTTAGAGAACGATCATCAAACCAACTGTTCAAAATACAACAGCATCTCAGTTTATTTCATTAGACCCCTCGCGGCACCGAGAAACACGAGAAAAGTGGAGTACACACGGTCTTATCCCATATGACGTCGAGAGCTTGAGTCTGCCATTCCATGAATTATTTCATTATTGCAACAGCAAAAAAGAGCATTTTAAGATGATTCAGGCCAAAGATTATGAGACACTCAAGGAAGACTGTTATCTTTGAAAGGGATGCAAACACATTAGGCCGTATCCCTGTTTGTATTTAACAACTGGAGCCCTGACTGATGATGTTAGAAACATTAGTGATTGGCTGTGGAGCTCATCGTGTTTCACTCAGCTTCTACCGTTTTTCCTCTGGTGTTTCAGAAGACGGAGATGTTTCCAGAAGAAAGAAACCGACACATTCCTTCCTTCATACCTTTATCAAAGAGGGGATCCTTTTCCCGTCCTAGTTTTAAACACGATGCTCGTTGAGTTGCAGAATTAAAGGTAGTCTTCTACAGAGACACAAAACAGCAGCAAAACACGGCGATTTCAAAACAAGCTAGCCTTTAAACACAGTCACGGTCAGCTACCATCTCTAGGCCACGCCCCCCATACCAGAACCCACATCGCCACAGGAAACGACATCATTCTAAACACCAGTCGCTGTTTTCTAGGTCCAAACGTCTTTTGTTGTCCGTGACTTCAAACGGTGATTTTCTTTTTGGGACTCTGGTAGTTTGTGCTAAAGCTGAAGTGGTAGCAGCCGGCTGTTTCTCCTTCTCTGATTCTACTGAGCGGAGAACCTCTCACACCGGTGGTGTGCTGAATGCATGAGTGTGTGATGAGTGGAGGACCCAGGGAAGTGCGGCGGTTCGGTGAGACGGCAACCGGACGGTCCGATGGTTGGTTTTGGTCAGAAACGCGTCGTTGGTGGAGGTTTTTAGACAAATGTGTGTTAGCTCTTTGGCTCGTGGAAACTGGCTTGAGAACAATTCCCGACATCTTGAATAGCGTTGCAACTATTCAGAGGAAAAATGTGTTCACACATGAGTTTCACATGTATGCTGAACATTAAAATAGTCTTCTACCCCTATTTCCTGCATAAGCAGAAAAAAGAAAATAGCCGGGGAAAACAATCAGATCAGAAAAGGCCAGAGAGCTCCGTGTTACTCTGTAAAATTTGCATCCATGGACTCAGTCACCTTGGCTCGTGACCGCAGAACGCTGCTCTGATTTAGCGTCAGGAGAGAGCAGAGCATGTCTCGGATGCTAGAAGCTAACCATTAGCATTGGCAACTCCACAACTCAGACCATGTTCAGGTTTGTGTTATTTGTGGAGATTAAACATCATTACCAAGAAAAAGAGTGAAGGGAGGCAGCAGAAGAGTTGCAATGCTGTTAGCCAATCAGTGGTGAGGCATTTGCATGTCATGAATATGACTCAGACCCCCGCCCCTCTGACAAGCTTCAACGTTTTAAACGGGAGAGCCAGAGCTTTTCTATGGAAAATGACTCGGAAGGCATCCATTCATACTAGAGACCACAGTAAATACGTTCTGTACGCCCGTTTTAGAAACCGAGAGGCTGGTTTCAGTCCAACTCACGACGCAAAGTAGTTGTTTTTTTCCTTCAGAGCCACCTTTAACAGCAATAACTCTGAGTAATCATCTTCTGTTTGACCTCATCAGACTCCCACATTGTTGTGGAGGAATTTTGACCCACTCTTCTCCACAACAGTGCTTCAGATCCTTCAGGTTTGCAGGCGCTTGTTTGGGCGCAGCTCTTTTAAGGTCCTGCCACAGCATTTCAATCAGTTTCAGGTGGCAGCTTTGGGTCTGTGCAGCACCTGGATGCTTTTATTTTTCAGAAATTCTCTTTTAGATTAGCTGCTGTGTTTGAGATCCCCGCTCCATCAGAGAACTACTTAATTTATACACACATCTTTGAGCTTGCTGGCCATTATCAGTAAACATGTAAAGCATCTTTTAGCAGAAGGTTATCCACCGTTTGGTGACAAGTAAAGAAAATATGCATTAAAACACTCTGAAGCTGTTACACCCTTTGATATGAAGGTGTTCATAATAATGTGTCAGAAACATTTTAACACAAAAAGATCGTGTGTGAGATGAGAATTTTTAGATCTTTAACTCGCTGATGCTTCTGTATTTTCTCATGAAAAGAGTCCGTTTCAGAGCAGTCAGTGCAATAAGAGAACACAGATAACTGTCCCTGGTGCTGATGAGAAGGCCAATGCCAGCATGTAATCTGAATAGGATGATATATCTGCACATTCCTGACGTCAAAGACACACAAAAAGAGTCCATTTTTATGAAAGCAGATAGAATCAAGTTCAGTAGCGCGGAAAACCCACCCAAAAGTTTGGAATGTTATCAAATCCTTCCAAAGACGACTGTGTGTGTGTGATGATGGATGTTTTACTCGCTTGGTTTAAGGTGTTATTCATTTGTAGATGTCACTCAACCTCTTCTTTTATTTAAGAGAGAAGGTCCCAGACTGAAAACCCGTACCTTGTGTTTGCTTTCACGGTTCTGGTATTAAATCATTTCACACTTTGGCTCTTTCTAAAAAGCCGGCGGCTCCAGCCGGAGTCTGCGGGAGACGCGCAGGAGCGGCGGACGTTTAGAAGCCATTTTTCATAAGTTGCTCTTACTTGTCTTCCTGGTGGTTGTCCTCCCCCTCGCTGAGCTCCTCGTCGTCCACCAAGTGTCCGAACGGCTCCGAGGAGATGGACACCATGTTGGACAGAATGAGACGGCTGTCGCTGCTGGCGGTCAGAACCAGCTGGTCGTGGCTGTGGTTGTAGCAGACGCTCCACACCCTGGGAAAAACATCATTCATTCAGAATTAGACAGAGCAGCAATGCGGGGAAGAGCAATCCTATTTTACATTCATGCATATGACTAAATTATTCTGAACAAAGCTCTGTGTGGGTGAAGAGCCCTGCAGCAAGCTCTGAAAGCTGTGATAGTTTGTTGACTGTGTGTGAGCAGACCACACATGCACACACTCGTCCTCCCACACAAATCCTGCAGAAAATGCAGCGCTCTCACAGCGGCGTTCACATATCTCTATCTGAGTATTCAGATGCCAGTAATGCGGATTTGGTAGCTTGCAGTCTATATTTGAGCTTAGTTCACATGAGCTGATGATCATTATCAGAAACCCCATGATCCTTCCTTCATCTCTTGCACACTTTTACAACTTTCCCCTCCCTCATTCTCTCCATTTTGTCCCTTCTTTATCCTGTCAGCACTGCCTTCCTGCCTTTTCTTTTTTTGCACACGTTCTTTGTGTGTCTGGGTTTTCTTTGTGAGCCCGGGGCGCAGCTCAGAGTACGGTCCCAGTTCCCTCACAGGGAGGGATTGAGGGATAACCGAGGCTGTTGACAGAAAAATCAGCAGCGGCCACGCCGTTCCCTGCGCTCCGCTAATCCGCTTCCCTGCTAAAAAATAGTCCCTAATACCCCCAGCAGCCCTGAGGCCATATCCTGGCTGCTCTCCGACAAATGAGCGCGCACGACAAACACCCACACATGCATGCATCGCACTGAAGTCTGATGCTCACGCAGGCGAATACAAATGACAGTACGCTTTACAGAAACATGCTAGAATGCACACAAATGCATGTGGTCGCACAGATAAAAAAGAGGGCTTTTGCAAAAACACAGATTAGCTGATAGTGAACACACGTGCACATATCTGGCATCAGACGACACCCCATCTGCTGTAATCTGCAGTCATGGATATGTTTGCAAAGCCTGTCTCTCCTTTGCAGATAATGTCTGGTCCTGTGTGCGTGCACGTAGACAAAATGTGCATTTGCTTCACTTGTGCATGTCTGCCAGTATCAGGTGAGGAGAGGTTTGCTGCAGCAGCATCCCGGTTTGGCTCTTGGGAACACGCTGATCAGTTATTCAGCTCACACAGAGCCAGGGTCGCCTGAAGCTTCGGCAGAAGACAACCTGAAGCCGGACTTGGCTGCAGTCAGCTCTCTCCGCTTTGGTTCGTAGCGTCAGAACAAGTGACTGCACGTTTAATGAGTGCATTACCTCCTTTTATTACATCAGGAGTAGTCGGGGCATTTCATTAGGCGGGAGATAAAGCAATTAATAAAACAAGAAACCAATTAAAAGTGAAGCAAAGCAGTTCACAACGTATTTACCACTATTGTGAGGGGCCTTTCTAATACGCTCGAACATCCATCTTCTAAACTATCCTTGCTTTTCACACACAGTCAGGTATAAAGTCACCATGATGAAACCACATCTGCTGTTGGAGACTAAATAAATACGAGGATGTTTTCAACGTAAGCATGCGTGGTAGGAGATGCGTGATGTTAGTGACCTACAATGTCTTCATTCTTCTTTGTGTGAGAGGAGGACACGGCACGTATCGGCATCGGTTTGTTTCCATATCAGAAACTAAGTCAGACACTATCGGTAAAAAAGCCTAAATCCAGCATCCCGGACTAGACCCAACACTTGAGCAGAAACGCAACTTTGTTATTTTATTTGTAAAATCTGGGGGGAAAAAAAATAAAAATAAAATAAAAATATAAATGAACCGCTGAACAGAATGACGACATTATTAAAGACTGAAACGCTAGTTTTCCAATACCTACAGTAACACATCACTGAAACAAAAACCTTTCACCATTTAAAACTGAAAAAGCTCTCGTCTCCTTCCGCCTATCCAGGTCCGGGTCGCGGGGACAGCATCCCAACTAGGGAGTTCCAGACTGCCCTCTCCCCGGCCCAAGGGCGCCCCCAAGGGGTGGCCAGGGGTGGCCATGGCCACCCCTAGAAAATTGCTGGCCCCCCCAGGAAAAGCCAGTGTTAACAAATCATATTAATGTTCAGTCAAACCGTAAATTGATCTTGTTTATTCACGACATAAATGAAAAACAAAATAAAAATATTACAACAATTGAGTAAAGAAATAATCAGATTAAACAAAAATACATACATACAAGTTTTTATCTCCATAGATTTTTTTTTTGTGAACACAGCAAAAGGTGAATTAACCTAAAAAAACATTTTTAAATAAAATTTGGGATAACATTTAAAAAACTGAAATGTATTTTTCTAAAATGTTTGTGTTTGTAAAGTTTAAGTGAAATGTTTTGGATTGTTATTTGAATAAAACGAATAAAGGCGCAATGCAGTACAACGCCACAGACTAAATCCAACCATAGTTACCACAAGGACCAATTTGGTGCGCCACCCCAAAAATTGCTTTGGCCCCATCTGGCCACCCCTATCAACATTTTCTGGGGGCGCCCCTGCCCCGGCCACCTTCACCAGCTCCTCCGGCAGGACCCCAAGGCGCTCCTGGGCCAGTTCGGAGATGTACTTTCGCCAACATATCCTGGGTCGACCAGGGGGCCTCCTGCCAGCAGGACCTGCCTGAAACACCTCCCTGGGGAGGCGTGCAGGAGGCATCCTAACAAGATGCCCATACTACCTCAACTGACTCCTCTCGATACTCAAAAAGTTAAAAACTTAATCAACTTTGCAACACACGAGCCACCAATAACTGCTAACATCCTCGTCTCTTCCGAGCTTTTCTTCTTTGCTGTTTCAGATTCAAGAGCTCGGTGTGCGTGTAAACGACGGTTTCCAGGCCTGATGTGTTGTGTTCCACACGTACAACAGGAGCCAGTATCTCTGATTTATGGGCTGTGCCCACCCAAGTGTTAACCGACGTGGAACCACCCACCAGTGAGAGTGCTCCTCCAGGGTTTTTACGGGCTCCTGGACATTACGGACGTCCCAGAACTTGACCTTGCAGTCGTCACCGCAGCTCGCTAGGTAGTACTGTCGGTTGGGATTGAAGTCCAGGTCACGCACCAGCTGGCCATGAGCGTTTTCTATACAGTAGATCTGACTGGAGGGAAGAAGATAAAGGAGAAAAATTATTAGACAGGAGGGAGAAAATGGACAGCTTGAAGGCAAGGAGATAAGAGGAGAAGCAGATTAGGACAGAGGGAGAGGAGAAGAGAAGGGGACATGACAGAACAAACATGATTCACAGGATCCAAACAAGTGAGAACATTCCTAACTTAAATCAAAGCCTTTTTCTGCGTCTGTCAGCGAAGGCCAATGTCAATAAAGAAGCCGACACCGGCAGAGTGAAATTCTGATGCGAGCCTCATAACTGAGCAGCCTTGAGTTGCTGCTGCGGTGAAGCTAACAGGATGGCGGGGTGGAGGAGGGAAGTGATGCTCGCTGCAAAACGCTTTCTTTTACCTTTCAAACAATCTCATTTCATCTTCGTTACATCTATCACGTCTTCCTCTAAATACACACGTACCACCAACGCTTTACTTCGAGTGACGTAAATCTAACAGCCATATTCGGGGATTATGAGTTAAATAATTGGGCTTTTTTGCGTTAAAACATTAAAAGCTTTTTCGATTATAAACATTTTACAGAGGCTCCCGTCCCTTTAGAACGCTAACCTGTTTAAGCTCATTGTGCACAACCTCCACTCTCACCGAGCACATTTCCAGACGCAGCAGGCAGCTGTCGTCAGCGGACAAATTCACTTATGGTTTTATCCTCCCACTGCAATAACAGATGGAGGAAACTCAAACACCTCGCATGCTGAGGGTAAAAGACGATCTTACTGTTTCAGCCAGGAGAAGAGCTTTCAAACGAGTGAAAAGGTCCCTCCACGCCAGGTGAGGGGGTCAGTGGGGAAAGTTAAGCACTATCTTCTGTCTTCACCTTAAAAATGTCTGTCAGCAGCATTTTTTCTTTCGTCTAGCAAAAAAATCTGTGGTATACTACATAAAATACATAAATCAATAACCGCCTGCAAGAATTTTGAGCTGAAATTATTTAAAGTTCAAATATGAAAAATTATAGCTGTTTAAAGGATTGGGTCACTCTTCTAATCAATTCAATTCAATTCAGATTATTTATAAACATGGTACCTGCAGGTTTAAGGGAGCCAAATTTAAGACTTTTAAAGACCTTTTTAAGGCCACTTTGACAAAATTTAAGCTATTTTTTAAAATCAAATTTAAGCTATGATTTCCAGCTATTGCCTAGAACGTCGCAAACGTGGAATTAGCCATCCAGTTACCATTAAACCTGCACTTTCCCATGGTGCAAGCTCCCACTAGCTTAACCAGCTAATGTGCTCATCTAAAAATAGCCCCCTTTCACTGAATGTATACGGTTCCGCTTACGCCAACATCACACACAGAAAAACGCTGAACACCAACTAGAAATTCACAAAATTTTTATAGAAATAAAAGAATCTTGTTTAGTGGGTTTTTGGTAATTTAAGACTTTTGGAAACTGTATTTAAGGATTATTTGTCATTTTTAAGGATTTTTAAGGCCTTAAATTTGGAAAAGCAAATTTAAGACTTTTTAAGGACCCGCGGATACCCGGATAAAGCGCCAAAATAACAGTATATATAAAGGATGGCTGAGTGGCCGGGCTCTGCCTTAGAGATAGGGTGAGAAGCTTGGTCATTCGGGAGGGGCTCGGAGTAGACCCGCTGCTCCTCCACATCGAGAGGAGCCAGTTAAGGTGGCTTGGGCATCTGGTAAGGATGCCTCCTGGACGCCTCCCTGGTGAGGTTTTCCGGGCACGTCCCACCGGGAGGAGACCTAGACTGCTTCTATTCAACAACAACGAGGTAAATGTGTCTTTAAATTCTAGGGCACCTTTTAAGTCTGTTTTATGTTGTTCTATAACGAGGCTTTAAATCTAAACTAACATCGCTGTGCATCTAGGCTTTCATTATGGGAGTAAATGTGTACATATGCGTGAAAATACTCTAGTATCACATGTGTATAGTGGTGGGTATGGCTCTTTGTAGTCCTCCTAAAACCTTTTTCTGAACCTCAGATTAAAGCAACAAAAAGCTGGTGGTCAGGAGAAGAAACCGACTGGTAGCTAATTAGATCTGGAACTCTGCCTCCTTCACCATAAACGCAACTGGGATCTGTAGAGAAAACGGCTCCTTGTGTTCTTCTCCAGGCTAGCCTTGCACAGCTAAGCTCCGCGTGGTTCTGCTCAGCAGAGTGGAAAGCCTCAGTGTTATAGCTCAGCTGGATGCCAGCAGCAGCTAACCAGCAAGCTAGCCACCCTGCTGATTGTGTTAGGCAATTAGCATGCTAATTAAAAATCTCATTAAAATAAGGGAGGTATAAGAGAATGACCCGAGGCAGACCGCTGGGCTTTATTCAGGTCAAGGCAACTTGGGGACTCGGTGTGATTTTAAGTGTGTGTGTGTGTGTGTGTGTGTGTGTGTGTGTGTGTGTGTGTGTGTGTGTGTGTGTGTCTGTGTGTGTGGCACCACCACTGGACCGTTTGTTGTTTACTCGTCGACAGGAAATGTCAGATAACAACTCAGAACTAAAGCGTGCCCTGTTCATGGAGCACAGAGGGAAAACAGTCAGATTCGTATGGATTAGCTTGAATTTGCACAAATATTGATTTTAAAAACCCATCACGCCCTTGTTACGAGGGTTTGTTGAAAAAAAAACCTTGAATCAACTTCTTAAGAGAAAAAGTTTAGTTCTAGAGATGCACTTTCAAATCTGAACTATGCTAAAATTGTGTTAAAATATGAGGGGAAAATGAGCAATTCTTGCTTTTACTTTGACATTTTATTTCATTTGAGGCACTATTAATTCAGTTCATGACTTGATTTGATCATTTCCAACATTGAACGCCTAAAACAATAAAACCAGGAGGTATTTGCTGCCAGTAGAACTTTCACCAAGGTGACTTTGAGATATTTGGGTATAATTTTAATTAAAAGCAAACTGCTGACCTTCGATCGCTGATTCTGCTCTTATGGATTCACAGAAATGACCTTTTATGTTTGTGCCCAGTGAAATGAGCTGGTTTCACATTTCTGGATGTTAGCGATTACCACTCCTGCCAGCTAGGTTGACACAGATCCCTGGGGAGTGCTGTATCAGCTGTAGATCATTAGCGCACCAGTGTTTAATGAATATTTATCAGCTGTATGAACATCAGCCTGTAACAACCGAGTTACTAAAACTGGCCATAAAACCTTCTGTCCAGACAGTTAGACATGAATGCTTATCGCATTAATAATGGAGGAGTGAGACCGGCGGTTAAATGATTGATATTCTATGTTTTAGTGGTGGAAATGGACCTGCTGTGATCTTAACAACACTTAGATCTCAATCTCAACCCAAAGATTAGACGATTAGCCGTAATATAAGAATCAGATTTATTGACAAAGCGTGGAACCGTGAATTTGGCTCCAGCTGTTCTCAAGCAGAACAATTATTTACAGAGACGGCAGGCACAGGTAAGCCACAGAAGACCTGAGTCCAGCTACAGGTGGGTCGTTTAGAGCAGAAGAAACTGCTTTTGTGGTGGTCTGCAGACTTGTGTAGGTAGAAACTCAAACAGGTTTGAGGGACAAGTGGTGTTTGCTTGTTCTAGAGGAGTTTTAGTCCTGCTCAGCTCATCCATGCAGGGATGGAGAACCGACCGGATGAGCACTCTTTCTTTTTAAGGTAATGTAGGAGCTACTTTCTCTTCTGGGCCTTTTTGAGGGTGGAGAAGATGTTGCTCTCCCACTTCCCAAGAGTCATGGGAGAAAGTGGTAGCCAGGAGCTTGACTGTCTCCACAGATGACACAGGGCGGTCAGGTATGGAGAGCAGGGGGAGGCCATCTCCTGAAATTCACTGCATGTTAGTCACAAACTATCCAGTCTGCAGCAAAGCTCCGCCCATTCAACCTCTCCTTCAGCACAAAGACTCCTCATCTCGGATGTGAAGGATGACCATGAAGGGGCAGTCAGTGGTGTAGAGCAGGGGTAGGAAACCCTGGACCTCGAGTGCCAATACCCAGCATGTTTTATTTCTTTCCCTGCTCCAGCACACCTGATTCAATAGTTGAATCACCTGTTCAGCGGGTCATCCATCGCAGCAGAAGCCTGTTAATGACCTGCTGAATAACATCTTGTGGGTTGATGCAGGAAAACAACTAAAACATGCTGGATAGTTGCACTCAAGGACCAGGGTTGGCATTACTTCTATGGAGACATGAATCGTGATAAATTAGGCTTCAGATTGATGCTTTATTATAACAAAGTCTTGTTTGTTTTAAGGAAACATGCAAAAGTGTAAGACGGTATAATTGTACCTTATCTGTCAACTCGTACTTATTTTTTTGGTCCTTGTGAAGTTTTGAGTTCTTCTGAGAAGAATTAGAAATGAATCATAAAGTAAGAGTTGGAGTTTGTCATTTGTTCTAACTCATTAAATGTGTTTGGAAAGCAGAAGTGACCACGAACCCCAGCATATCCACCCTCCTGCGGTTTGCTGGAAGGATAATCATGTCAGCAGTACTCCATCAATCAGGCCTTGATAGTAAAGGAGCTTGACATTCGTCACTCAGAGAAGAAGATCTATGACAGCCTGTTGGACCTTGCCAGAATGCGAACAAAAGACCCTGAGAGCTCAAGAAAAACGGTCTGATGTACTTAAACTGTTGTGATTATTGTTGCTGAATAGGTTTGAGGCAGCAAAATGCAGAAAAACGTACTTCATCCTTTCATTGGGTATTTCTATCTGTTTTCTGTGATTTTACCATCAAGAACGCTAACAGAAGAACATTATTTCACAAATAACTCAAACCTAAGCGTTTTGGAGGAAAGTCTTGGAATTAAGCTGTTGGAGCTACTTTGGACAACAACTATAGGTACCAGAATGGCACCCTGTGGCCAAATGTGGGTACTGCAGTCCATCTTCACAAACAAAAAGTCACTTTCTCACTACCTCTAGCTCGGTGAGTTTCTTGGCTGTTGCCCATTACAGATCAGCGCCAGAAGCGCTGACGTCGTTAGGTCCGGTTAAACATTCACAAGCCCCCCTATCATT